AAATATTTGAAGCAAGAGTAACAAGAATGTATACAAGACTATGACGTTTACAGTCTACATCTTTGATAAGGGAAAATGGTTTATGAAATGTATACAGTCACTAATAAAATGTGTTATTATTATGTTCTTATTTATATGGCGCCAACAAATTCCGCAGTGCTTTACAGTGGGTGGACGTTGTAACCAGAAAAGTTGGACACACAGGAACCGAGGGATTGAGGGCCCTGCTCAATGAGCTTACATGCTAGAGGGAGTGGGGTAAAGTGACACAAAAAGGTAAGGATAGTATTAGACTAATGACAGTTGCAAGAGAGGAATCAGTCGGCAGCTATTAACAGTTTAATTGATACACTTTTATGAAGAAGTGGGTTTTTAATGATTTTTTGAAGGAGTCGAGACTGGGTGAGCATCTAACAGAGGAGGGAAGCGAGTTCCACAGGAACGGTGCAGCCCTCGAGAAATCTTGGAGGCGAGCATCAGAGGTGGGAGTATGAACAGCAGAGCGTAAGGGCCTAGACGGGACATACTTGTCTATTAGATAGATAGATAGGTGGGAGCAGCATTATGTAGAGATTTGAAAGCAAGAACCAGAATTTTAAATTGAGCGCTATATCTTACAGGTAGCCAATGTAGGGTCTAACAGAAGGGTGAGGCATGGGACGAGCGGGTACACAGGAAGATGAGCCTCGCTGCCGCATTCATTATATATTTAATATAAGCATATATTGATATGTATATACACTGCTCAAAAAAATAAAGGGAACACTTAAACAACACAATGTAACTCCAAGTCAATCACACTTCTGTGAAATCAAACTGTCCACTTAGGAAGCAACACTGAGTGACAATCAATTTCACATGCTGTTGTGCAAATGGGATAGACAACAGGTGGAAATTATAGGCAATTAGCAAGACACCCCCAATAAAGGAGTGGTTCTGCAGGTGGTGACCACAGACCACTTCTCAGTTCCTATGCTTCCTGGCTGATGTTTTGGTCACTTTTGAATGCTGGCAGTGCTTTCACTCTAGTGGTAGCATGAGATGGAGTCTACAACCCACACAAGTGGCTCAGGTAGTGCAGCTCATCCAGGATGGCACATCAATGTGAGCTGTGGCAAGAAGGTTTGCTGTGTCTGTCAGCGTAGTGTCCAGAGCATGGAGGCGCTACCAGGAGACAGGCCAGTACATCAGGAGACGTGGAGGAGGCCGTAGGAGGGCAACAACCCAGCAGCAGGACCGCTACCTCCGCCTTTGTGCAAGGAGGAACAGGAGGAGCACTGCCAGAGCCCTGCAAAATGACCTCCAGCATGCCACAAATGTGCATGTGTCTGCTCAAACGGTCAGAAACAGACTCCATGAGGGTGGTATGAGGGCCCGGCATCCACAGGTGGGGGTTGTGCTTATAGCCCAACACTGTGCAGGACGTTTGGCAGTTGCCAAAGAACACCAAGATTGGCAAATTTGCCACTGGCGCCCTGTGCTCTTCACAGATGAAAGCAGGTTCACACTGAGCACATGTGACAGACGTGAGAGTCTGGAGATGTCGTGGAGAACGTTCTGCTGCCTGCAACATCCTCCAGCATGACTGGTTTGGTAGTGGGTCAGCAATGGTGTGGGGTGGCATTTCTTTGGGGGGCCGCACAGCCCTCCATGTGCTTGCCAGAGGTAGCCTGACTGCCATTGGGTACCGAGATGAGATCCTCAGACCCCTTGAGAGACCATATGCTGGTGCGGTTGGCCCTGGGTTCCTCCTAATGCAAGACAATGCTAGACCTCATGTGGCTGGAGTGTGTCAGCAGTTCTTGCAAGACGAAGGCATTGATTCTATGGATTGGCCTGCCCGTTCCCCAGACCTGAATCCAATTGGGACGTCATGTCTCGCTCCATCCGCCAACGTCACGTTGCACCACAGACTGTCCAGGTCTGTGAGGAGATCCCTCAGGAGACCACCCGCCACCTCATCAGGAGCATGCACAAGTGTTGTAGGGGGGTCATACAGGCACATGGAGGCCACACACACTACTGAGCCTCATTTTGACTTGTTTTAAGGACATTACATCAAAGTTGGATCAGCCTGTAGTGTGTTTTTCCACTTTAATTTTGAGTGTGACTCAAAATCCAGACCTCAATGGGTTGAAAAATTTGATTTCCGTTTTTTTTTTTGTGTGTGTGATTTTGTTGTCAGCACATTTAACTATGTAACAAAGTATTTCAGAAGAATATTTAATTCATTCAGATCTATGATGTGTTATTTTTGTGTTCCCTTTATTTTTTTGAGTAGTGTATTTTTTGTTTCATACTATATACAAATATTAATATAATAATACATATACATTTGAGGAACACTCCAATGTTAAAAGCCACTATATGGTTTTAAAGTATGGGGTATTCCTTAACCCCAGTAGGTGCCAGACGCCCCCCAAAATATCTGACAGTGACTCTTCTCTTACTGCTCAACCCCTGGGAGACTGTCAACAGTGTCCCTTCCTTTCTTGGTGAAATTGGCTCACGCTCTGCAATTACCGCAAATGCACCAGGGGGTATGGTGAAGACACAGGCAAAGACAATTTTGAAGGCATTTTCGCCTGTATATTCATTAATCCTTGCATCGGCCTTGCCTGCACACCCTACATTCCTGACATGGACATTCTGAATCACCTATGCAATCCCACAAGCAGGCTCCATACACATGCACATGCTTTCCTGGCCCTTTGTCCTCTGGTATCCCACTTATGGAGACACCAGAGACAAAACACAAGCAAATACAGCGCAAGCATGTTAATAAATTAGCTTGTGCTGCGCAGAACAAATACAGGGCCTTTTTCTCATGCGCAAGCTCTTCAGCAGAGCTCTGCACATTGAGCCAACATCCTCTCTTGCCATGCCCCCTTCTCAGTGGGCCTCTGTGATTTAAAAAATGCCTGGGCCGAATTTTGTCCCAAGTCCGGCCCTGCACATGATCCCTGACACAATCACACTTCCTCCCTTACTCAAACACACATACATTACATTTCCCTAAGCACACACTTTACATACTGTACAAATACACTGGATCCTACACACACACACACACACACCATCTATACTATGTTCTAGTTAAAATATGTGCGTGTGTTTTATATTCCAAAAAATACTGCACCATGACCACTTCAAAACACTGAAGTGGTAATGGTGCTTGGAATAATTATTTTTCTTTATAGATTTTGTGATAGTATAAAAGTATTATCCTTTAAACATAACTTAAATACCCTAACCAGCAAATTCTCTTTCATTTCAGTAATTTTAGATTTAATACACGAATCCTAGAATTGTGAAGGACTCCGTTGCACATACAGATGCACAGATATTGCCAAATTCAGCTCAGCTAGAAAGCTAAGATTTACAAAGAAACCTTTTCAATTTTCCACATCTCTAACAATCTGTAGTGCATAAAGCTCTGAACCTGATACCTGTCTGCTTTTATGTTTGCTGAATAACGCATGTAGTCACGTTAACTTTCACATAATATTCTGAAATCATAAAAAAAAAAAATAATCTTTTAGGGTGGAAGATTAGCAATACATTTCTTTAAGGAGATTATCTAAACCAAGTGTATAAAACACAGCTGAAACCAGAAATATTTGACATTTTAGCAAAATATATCTCGTATAGGCACGGACGGGGTTCGAACCCGTGATCTTCGGTTTACGAGACCGACGCCTTACCACTTGGCCACCGCGCCTGCGTCTGATTGTGTGTTCAAAAAACAACATGAGCTTTTCACTGCCGGGATTTCACAATTGTGTATATTTATTTTAGTGTTCGATTTACTAAACAGCAGCTCGCAGACACGCAAATCGTGCTTTATTACAGTCTTTGTAGTGCACACATCCGGCTACCAAACATTTCTAAAAAAATAAATATATATATATTTCCCGAGAACAGTTTGTAAGGAATACACCAGCACGGAGAAACTGTTTCAAGTTATAAAATAATAACAATATTATATATATATATATATAAATACGGAAAAAAAATACTATATGTTTAAAATACTGAACAAATATAACACGACATGGAAATTTGTTTTTTCTGTATATTAGCCCCAGTAAGTCAATAAAAAGTGTTTTTAGCGTGTGGTCTCTTTGCATGGGTCTCAAGCAATATAAATTATATTATTATATGTCGTGCTGAATATTCAGACAAAGAATGGAGTGTTCTAAATTCTATTCCATTTATCCAACTGAACATTCCATGGCGTTCTGCTACCATTATTATTCGTCGTCCAGCCTAATTTTACTGTCCATTCCATGAAGGAGAGGCTGACAAAGTACACAGCACTTTACATGCAGACTGAGAGCTTCCCGCCCTCTGTGTACCAATTCTCTCAGTATATGCTATTGCCAACATGTTTGTATAGCACATCCATTATCAGGTCAGTTTATTGTATCTATTATAGTAAACGCTGGCAGTGAACGTTGATGTATCCAGAAGAAAGGAGGTGAAGTCCTGTACTGATTTAATATTATACTTTTGGGTAAGGAACCAGCTGGGCTGCATATTCAGGTATTACTGAACTAAAGCAGGGCGTTTTAAAACATTTTTTTTAAAAATGCATTATGTTCAGTAGTGTGTTAAAATATAACTGCTAGTAGCAAAGATCTTCCTCAAAACCATAAAACGTACATCATTCCTCACATTTTAATTTGACAAGAAGGAGGGTCTTCTCTGAGAAACTTTAGTTTATTACTTACAACAATTTATGCAACTTAAATGGAAGTTGGAACAACAACACTGTATTTTATTAATGCAGACTGATTCCTAAGCACATTTATTTAAAGTATTTTTTTAAATTATTTTTTTTACTTTTTGGAATGCAGCAAGCCAGGCATATGGCAATCTGCACACAGACTGTTAAGACAACAGCATTGTGTGCTTATGGGAGAAAAGGCAGATCAATGCAGTGGCTGTGGAGAAGCTGGTCAAGGCATCATAAGACACTGTTCACAAGAGGATTGCCTTCAGCTATCCAGAGGATCCAGTATGATAACTAGAGTATTGTGGAGGGCACGCCGCTCTGCTAGGATCGAAGATTTGATTGGCTGCAACTGAAGAGTGGGCTTAGAACTGTTTAAGGCTACATATGTGGCAGCCATAGAAACTTTGACCATCTGTACATCCTGCTGATTGAGTTGACTCTGAGGTAATAAATGTCTCTTTGTTATCCATTCATGATTTAAAACTTGGCATGCAGTAAGTCGGCGATGATAATTCACGTGAAGCATACGAGTTACTAAATCCTTTGCAGAGTCAGAAACTGTGTTCCAGTTTTCCCCCTCTCAAGGTAAATGTTCCTACCCCAATTCGAGCCAAAATGTCTTCAGGGGAGTGTTCTGGGCCATTTGCAAACGGGGTGTACCCAGCCAACATGGTATACAGAAGGATGCCCAAGCTCCATATGTCACAGCCCTCGTTATAACATTGTCGCTTCAACACCTCTTGGGCCACAAAGTTAGCTATATAACAAGGAATCATGAGTAGTCCATTCTGAGCCCGCAGTTGCTTTGCAAATCCGACGTCACATATCCCAATAGACTCTGGGTTACCAGATTCGTCAACATAGAGAATTTTACTGGGCTTTAGATCTCTGTGAATAACCCCTTGGGAGTGCAAATATTCCATAGTCTTGCAAATAGTCAGAAGGACGGCACTGGCTTCACGTTCAGAGAAGAACTTTGTAGAACCAACCGATGGATCGCTTATCCTCCTGGTCAAGAGTTGGAGCCACAAAACTGAATCCACGATACATCTGGTAGGCTCCTGCATTGGGGGAATTCCAGGAGAGTCTTTTGGCATTCGTGAAGTGAACTCTGTGTCAAAGTAATAAGAGTCGTCTGGCTGAGTAACTGCTAGTTTGAAAGGTGGGCTAAGCTCCCTACGATACAGTCTATTCCAGTCAATTGTTGAAAAAAAGGGATGGCGTTTAATTTCTTCTGCACCATCTACGCCTGATCCTAATCTGTTTGTGGGATTCTACTTAAAGAGAGCACGTAATAATGCCTGCGCCTCATTGCTGAGAAACGGAGGCATATTAGTTTTAATACTAGCTTCATTGTTTCCTTGCGATTCTTTCCTTGAAATGGCAGGGAACCAGTCAGTTTCTCAAACATGAGAACTCCATAAGACCACCAACCGGCACTGTGCGTGTGACCTTGCCAGTTTACAACCTCAGGAGCCATGTATTCAACTGTACCACAGAATGAGTAAGCCTTCTTCTCATGGTCTATTGATTTTTTACTCAGACCAAAATCGGTCAACTTTATGTGTTCTTCATCAAGCAAAATGTTCTCAGGTTTAAGATCACGGTAGATGATTCCTAGACAGTGCAAATGATCAAGGCCCAAAGCCAATTCAGCCAAGCAGAACTTCACATCCTCATCTATAAACATCACCTCCTTTGAAAGACGAGTGAAGAGGTCACCTCCCCTCAGAAAATCAAGGATCAGGTACAGTTTACCCTCTGTTTGGAAAGCATAGTGTAGCTTCACCACAAAAGGATGGTGTACATCAGCTAAAATATAACTTTTCATCTTGATCCTCACTCTGTCTCGCACTTTAAGAGTGGATTTTTTAAGGACCTTCATTGCGTACAAATGGTTGTCATCAGGTGGAGTTTTCTTCCGTACAAGGAATACTTTGCCAAATGATCCCTGTCCGAGCACCTTGAGCAAGACAAAGTGTGATGAATCGGTCTTCTCTGAGCCTTCTTTAACATGATGCGTTATATTAATCTCCTTCACAACCACTTCATACTTATTTGCGCATTTTATTCCATCTTCTGGGGCTGCGTGTCCGTTCTCCGTTTCTTCTGCCACCAGTTCCAAATCGGGCCACAGCTCCACGAGTTGAGCGAGTGGCATGTTCACGGTTCACACCCCCGAGCTCCACAACGTTAAAGATGAACGTGAAACGTGGAAGCCTTCTCTGCAGCCGGGTCCCTGCGCTCTGATCAACGGCCGCACCTGACAAACACATCGCTCGCTGTCACTGCGCTCCGATCCACCTTCTCTCTCCTGAGTACAGAGCCGCACTTATTTAAAGTATTTTAAAGACACAATGCAGTGGGTATTATTGGTTTAGAGATCTATTATACACTCCGATACACTAACAATATAGAGCTCATAGAAAAGAGGGTAAGTTTGATTTAGGCCAAAAATAGGTCACTTCTAATTAGGGACAGTTGGGAGGTATGGACTACAGTGGTATATTTATGTTTTATTATTCCCTTCACTAAGGCAGGCAAATGCATCCCCATTCACCATTAATTACACACTCTAAAATAAGATCATGACTGCTGACCAATCCTCTCCCCCATGTTGCCCCCAACAAAAACACGAGACCAGAAATATGGGTAAGGGCAACGGCCACAGCTTTATTAATTTTAAAACATTTTAATGGACCAGCATTCTATCCAATTATCAGTTGTTGGGTAACTTCCCCCAACAGACAGGTACCAGTTACTTGTCCAGAGTTCGTATCAGCCTGCCTATCGCCATCAGCCTTCGGCAGGCTGTGACTCCCCAAGCCGACTCATCGTTTCCCATTACTTTCCATTTCGCTCTGCCGGAGCTGTGACAATGAGAAAAAGAAAAGAAAACCAGAAATACGAACAGACACCAGAAACCAGCAACACTGTCCCCTGGTTCTCCTTTTTATTCCCCTCCAAGTTGCAACAATGCTTGTACCTTTGTGCCATCCCCCTTACTACTGGGAGTCTGCCCTTGCTTTCAGTCCAGAGCAGTACTGTCACTCACCTTACCCACACCTACCTAACAAGCCACATTCACTCCCATAGCAAAAAACACTGATACACATATATACTTCCCAACAGTTCGCAGTTTATACCTCCCAAGAGTTAGGCAGTACTTTCTGCCTCCTGTCCGTCTTTTCCCAGCCCCCTGTTCTGAGTTCATACATCTCAATATCAATATCACAATTACAGTCAAACAGCTCCATACATGCATAGCACACTTAACCAACCACCACACACATTCCACTTAGGTAGGGTTACCAGAACCACCATGTTTTCAGGGACACATATCACATAGACATATATATATGTATATATATATATCACATAGACACACACACATATATATAGGCAACACATGAACAGGGTTGCCCTGTAGTATGTAGAAATCAGAAGAAGATGTATAAGATTAAATCATTAGGCAACGAAGAATCCTGCAGAATATGCATTATACATACTGCAGGGCAACTCTTCATGTGTTTTCATAAATATAAGAAAATGTCCCTGAAAACATGGTGGATGTGGTAGGTGGCTGTTGTAATTGGGAGAGATATGTGAGGATACAATATCCACCATGTTTTCCAGGACACATATCATTTATACAATTAAGGGATGAAATACAGTATCATAACATTCTCAGGCAGACCCTCCCAATTCCATTTTATTTGATGAGGCCTAGCAGGGGAGCAAGAAATCCAACAGAGACAACCAAACAAAAACCACCGGAACCAGAAGAAGTCCCAATCAACTGTAAACAGATAGAGACTTCATGAAAGTAAACTGCCATGGCAGAATTTCATGCAAGTCACAACAGCACAGCACAACAGCACAGCGAATGGCACAGTGCAAACAAGTGAAAACAGGCAACAAGCACCACAACATCATAGGAAATGATTAGATACAACAGACACAATCATCAAAACATGCAACAGAGAACAAGAAAAATCCCAGAGAAGCATAAGAAAAAACAAGCAGGGTGGGATATATTTGCCTTCTGTATTTAATAAAATGTAGAATATTGCTTCACCAAGGCTAGAATAATCCCTAATTTTATAGCAAGACAGGAGGGTTAATATTTGCTATTTTAAAACTCAGTATAGAGGCATAAGAAAACATGAGAATGTTGATGAAAAATAGAATGTACGGAAAGTCAATTCCCTAAACCAATCAGCAGAATGTAGAATATCCGAAAGGGGCCCTCCCGAATCCAGAGCTGCCGACACTGCAGCACCCTGAACCGAATGTGCACAAAGGACTTCTCTATGCCGGCAGAGGCAAAAAGCCACCGAACCCAATGAGCGAACATAGGTGCGCAGACCACCCTAAATGGTTGCACGTAGGAAATCAAAATTTGTCCATGGGCCAAGGCATGAAGAGACACAGAAATATAAATCCCTGTCTTTTTCCTGACAAGGAGGATGTCGCATAGAAAGCAAGGGGAACCTAACACCCGTTCTATCGCTCCTTTCTCTAACAAGCGACTGCATCGAAGGATTCACGAACCCGATCTGGAAACTGGAGACCATCTGAAGCACCTAGGGTCCTATGAGAACATCCCACTGAGGAGAAAAATGAAACATCCTGCCAGCAATTGCTGAGTGTGGTAAACAAGGAAGGACTTTTAGCCCGTGTGGATGAGGACCCGAGAAAGCAGCTCTGCTGGTCGCACATCCCCACTGCCGACCAGCCCTAGAGGAAAAACGACCACCAGAACGGAGGACCTTCATGAGGGACAAACTGGGCCTTGATGAGGGATTTGTAGATCCACACGTCCTGGTTCAATTCCTGTAAGAAGGCATCCCCAAAGAGCAAGCCTTTGACATCAGCTCCTAGTTCATTAGAGGCCAAGTCAGTGAGCTTGCCGTCCAGTTTGTAAAGAGCTGCCTTGCGGTGCTTGATGGAAAGTGCCATATTGGTGGTGCCTAACAAGTAATTGGCACGTTGGGCCCATTCACGAAGGTAGTATGGTCTGAGTCAGCAGGCCGCTGATATCCAGGAGCTTGTCTTGGGCAGAACGTACACCCTGCTCGAGGCCCTCGCGCAGGTTCTTCCCGGAACGCGTCATAAATGTGGCACACATTGGGTCACAGTCAGGGGTAAGAGCCACCTTATCCGGCAGTGTTGGACAAGGACACTCTGTCCTAAGCTTCGCCAGACGTTCTTATCCAGAGGGCGGCTGAGTCAATATCTGAGGATCTCCACAGTATGGCCAGGGGGCACCCATTCGGAGGAGCGTGGGTGCTTGACCAGATGTGGGTCGAAGAGAGGTTGTCCCGGAGGATCCAGAATCTCCATGGGGTCTTCAGCATGAGGAGACTGAGGTCTCAGAGCATCAGTCGGGAAAAAGTTGACCATCGCCTCCATAACGTAGTTGGAGGAAACAGCGCCCGAGCTCCCAGCCCTCTGTTATCTAGGCTATCATAATCAGGGTCCCCCGAGAAGGTGGGAGAAGCTTGTTCGGCAATATAGAAGCCCAGTCTAGTCAACCGGGCGGCAATTTGCCTTTGACAACAGGGGTGCCCTTATATTTTCCAGGTGAGGACCAGTGGGCTAAGGACAGGGCTGTGGAAGGGGTGGGAGGAAGCAGGGGGTGTCACCCAACCTAACGCAGTGCACCCAAGCACCACACACACAAGGGCCGTGAGGCCAGTAGCAGAGAGGTTGAATTCCAGGAAATAGACTATATCAAAATATGGTCGTCTGCAGGAACATTCTGTTAGTTTTCATGGTGACTATATAAACATTGGGCCAGTCTGTAGTAACATTCCATTTGTTGAAAAGTTATGTTAACTATTTATTTTCTGCTGGTTGTTTCAGTAAGAAGGTAAAGCAAATTTGAAGCCTCCTGTCTTGCCATAAACTTTATGGGCATCATACATAGAGTGCTGCCCTGCAATATGTAGAACTCACTAGGGCTGTAGTGTGGGGGGATAGGGGTTGAGATATGTGGGGGGTATGGACAGAATTAGCAAATATAAAAAAACATTTTTTTTTTTTTTAAAACACCTAAAGTTTATTTTCCCCTTCTGAGGAGGGAGGGGGCATTTCAAACCCTAAATTGTTCTCGCCTCCAGTCTCTCCATGTGTCTCATTCTCATATCCAGACCCACCATCTGTCTCATTCACCCCCAAGCCCCTCTATGTGTCTCATTCTCCTCCCAGTTCCTCCATGTGTCTTATTTTCCCCACGCAGCACATTGTGTCTCATCCCCATCCCATTCCCCTCCTGTGCCTGTTGACCTCTATGGCTGAGCGGTCGGCGGGTGGAGAATCTTCTGTTTCTGACAGGAAGTGCTCACTGAGAGCATTTCATGTTAGATCGCTGTCCGCCCCGCCTTACTGCATGCAGTGACTGGCTGAAGGAGAGCGCTAGGCTATGTACTGCCCTCCTACTGGTCATCGCCACTGTGTTCCTCGAGCCCGTGTCCCCGTGCACCAGCCCTGAAGTTATGCCGGTCACAGGGGTCGACGGGGTGGCCAGGCCCCCTGAAGTAATGGGCCTGGACGCAGCTAGGACCCCTGCAACTGCTATAGCAGTACTATTGCTACTATTATATTTGGAGTTTATTATGATACTGCACAGCTGTGGGTATTGCTGTAGGCTCAAGTTTTTAATGCAGTGGGGATAAGGGTTAATATAGTATGGCTTGGGGTTAATACAGCAGGTGAGGGAGTAATACATCAGGTGTGGAGTTTATAAGAATAGCAAGTAGTATTTGGAATTGAATTAAAGATTTGGGATATAAACAAATTAGGGTTTAGGGTTGACTGTAACAGTTGGATTTAGGAAGTAGTAAATCAATGTAAGTAGGAGGGGCTATAAAATTTATGATTGACCTGATGTCCCTGGTCTTTTTGACACTTAGGAATGCCCCTGTGGAATGGCTTGAGGATAATACAGCATGTGTGTAGTTTATAAATATAGATATAATATTCTGAATTAAAGTATAAATAATGAATTAAAGTATTTGGGGGTCACAATGTGATTTATAGAATATGTTATGGGTTAAGGTTGTTAGGGCATGGTAAAGGACTGGCTTAAGGAGGAGCCTAAATCAATATATATTGGCGGGTCCATAAAATGTACCCATGGGCTGAAGCCCCTGGTAATTTGACACCTATCAATGCCCCTGCCACAGCCCCTGTATGTTGGTATGATGTTAAGGCAGCACAGGCAGCTAACGTGGGGTGCTCTGGCAAGGGGATGCAGTATCCAAGGTATG